TTTCCTGCTTCCAAGCCTTCTCAACTCAGAATCCTAGATGTCACCAATGTAGCTGAGTGACCCCACAGCATATGTGTACATTCCAGATTCCTCTGTCCAGTGGTAGAAAACAGGGAACTGGAGTGCTGGAGTAAATGGTTATTTCTGGCAATCCTTACGTTTGTAAACCAAAGACTGCTTTTCACTACCACTGCCCTAAACCATTCCATGATGGAGGGATGCACATTTTCTATTTATAGTCCCCTCAAACTTAAACTTCAGAAAGAAGAAAAAGGAAGTGGTCAGATATTAAATATTAAATTTCCCCAGTGGGAAGTTCATGTAAAGATAATTCTATCAGTGATGTCAGCTAATGAGAACACCAGGGTCCACAGGGAGAGTGAGAGAAAGTCGGGGAGAAAGGGGAAGAAAAAGAAAAAAAAGAGAACAGAATTTGATATTTGTTATTTTTAAAAAGAAATTGAAATTGTCATTACAGGAAAAATCAGAACCATGTAGGTCTCCTTTATATTTATTTTATGGGTTCAACTTTTTTTTCTTTAAATTAAACATAGACTGTGAAATAAGGCCAAAGAACCATAACCTTTCCAGTGCTTATGCCTTCTGAAGACCTACCGCCCTGCACTGACACATTCGTAATCTATTTCTTAACAATTCTGTATTTTAAGTCAAATAGAATTTAAATTGTAGAATGTATTCTCCTTGATTCTTGGAAAATTGATTTCAAGTTGATTAGAGCTGTGATCCTGCAATCTGTACACGTGGAAAAATGAGAATTCATACCCTATTTAAAGCAAATGTATGATATGTCAAGATCATTGTATTGTCTTGAGCCACTAATTAAAAAAACTGTACAATCACATATGTTAACCAGGCATGATACTTATACACAGATTCTATTTTTTTACATTATTGTGTATTAACACTATAAATACCGAATCAATGAACACAACATGATGAATGTTCAGATGGGATTTAGTACGGTAAGAAGCAAGGGAGAAGGGAGACCCAGTTCTCTGACAAAGCTGATAAGACCCTTTATACATTCTACCCCAACAAAGCTTAAGCTCATCTCAGGGACCCTCTGCTTTCTTTCTCTGAGGGGAGTTTGAAACATATACACTAAAACAGTATCAATTTTTATGTGGCTATTGGTGGGAGGGGGAGTCAGCATATGGTTAGCAATTTTCTATGGAATCACATTAGAGTTTCATGGTGGTGGCCTTATCACATTAAAATCTGCCTTTTCTTTTTTCGAAATGGCTTCCATTGTGTATTTAGTGAATCTGATATGGAAAATTGCTAATGCAATAAGGGTATCATAGAACCTTTCCTGACTGTAATGCTCAGCCACAATATTCCAGAGGAGGCCCAACTGGGCAGGGAGATCCCAGGCTTTTTGTCACAGTCTCTTGACAGGTCCTTAGCTCCAGGTCAACACTGGCTTCTTGAAAGATGGACCTTTCAGACCTAGTCTACCGGTGAAATACTTTTACAGATTTTTTTATTTCAGAAGGGACCATGGGTTCAGTGAAAATATTTGCCATTTAATTACTATTTATTGACTGACTACTCTATAGGGCTCTGTGGTCAGCATTATGGGAATTAAAAAAAAATAGTTGAAACACAACCCCCTCCCTGCATGGATCTTGTAAGGATCATACCAGAGGAAGAAATAAATTAGTGTATGAGTAAATAATTCAAGACACAACAAAAGTGGAAAAGAAAAAGAGCCACAGAAGTTGGAAGGAGGTCACACCTGGCACAAGAGCCACCTACAGAAGGCAGCATCTGAAGGCTGCATACACACCAAGGAAATTGCTGAGGATCTGGTGGGAAGTCGGAAGCAAGGGAGGGCTATGCCATGCCTTAGTGTGAGTAAAGTTACAGAGAAAAGAAAAGGGTATGCATGGAAAACTATAATTAACTCTTTTAACTGCAGTATAAAATATGGAAGGACTGGGAAGAAGAGCCCAGAAAAATGGTTTGGGGGTCGACCTGAGGCTAACACCTAAAGAGTCCAGTGAATGAAGCAGATGAGTGTGACAGTGGTGATCAGCATGGTTTTGGGGCGAGAAGTACTAGGATAAAGAGCTTTAGGAAAAGCAAGCAAGCATCCCTTAAGTTTCTTAACAGATAATTTACAGGATTTAAAAAGTTAGTTTATTGCCAGAGAATATTTGTTTATATTTTGCTATGTCATTACTCTTCACATATTCAGTTGATAGTATAACACAAAATTTTACTGAAAAAAAATATTATTATAACAAGTACTTATGAATTTATTGGTCATTTTATTTATTTTTGCTTTACAATAACTTTTCAACTCACTAGCAACAGTAACCAAGGAAATATAAATCCAACAGGCTAGAATTACAACAATTTGAGATTTGTGTTTTCAACATACGGCTATAGTTATTGTTTTATTTGGGACACTTCCCTGTTTCTGAATTTTTCTCTACTGTTTTCAAAACAATAAACAGAAAGTCTGCACTAAGCTTCAAAAAAATTTTAACATTTAATGTAGTATACAAAATAAAACCCAAACCAGTTATTTGTCATAACCTTTACCTACCCTTAAATCAGAGAATATCCTCTAGAGAATTTTCTGACATATTAAAGTGGAACACACTGAAACTACTACTTTATTTTTTACTGAGTAAATGTCAGATATAAACTGATCTGTTGCCTTCATGCTATAGTGACCACTTACTAAACATTAGCCCTCCAACTAAGCAAAGCCTATTGCACTCTTTAATCAGAATTAAACTATTTGCAAAATTAAAATTGACTATTTTTATTCTTAGGAAAGAATTTCTTGATAATTTTCTCCTCCAACTGACCACATGACTGAAAAGGATAAACAAATTTACCATTTATTTATTAATTACAGATACCCTTAGTAATGTTTCATTAAGAACAATCCAAAACTTTTCTTTCTCATACCATGTCCTTGTCAATCAGAGATGCAGTAGTTGAGATCTATGGATATTTTCTGATTACTTGTAATTTGGGGATATACAAGTAAGAAGAAAAGACTGTAAAAGGAAAAAAGTCCAAATAGCTTATGTTGACTTTTAAAAGGCTGATGTCGAAGATGTGAGAATTGAAAGTAATTAGTGGGTTAACCTAAATTTTATCTTTGATTTTTCAGTAAACATGGTACCGATAAAAACAAGTCTGCACAGATCAAGAACATGTTGGCATTCTCTTAAGCATAGCTTGAAACCACAGAGTTCCAGCATAAAACAGCTCTGACAAAGATAGCCAATATCAAGCATAAAAATGGGAGTTGGTTGTGTCAGAATACATGGAGGCCTAAAGGCTGTCTCCTGGACAGTTCTCCTGCCATCAAGGAAGGTGATTCTGGCCACTAAAAGTTGTTTTTCTGATATATTATTTAAAACTTCTGTCATCTTATCATATTTAAAATGTTCCTTATTTATAAATGACCACATGGGTTTCTTATCTGCAGTGTCCTTGGATAACCACAAACTTGAAACAGGTCCCAAATCACGTTGGTGGTTTCCTACAAAGCAAAGGGAAACTTATTTATTCCATCTTTGTCTATTTGGAGTGGGGAAAGTGTTTGGGTTTTATTTTTACTTTCCTTTTTAAATATAGATCACTAGTTTTTAAATGTAAACATCCAATGACATTCCCTCACCCTGACAGCCATCCTGAGGCAGAAAGCAGTCTGGAGTACTCACATTTCACTCACCCAGAAGATGCTGCGAATACTCCACTGTTACTGCCTAGGAGGTAGCCCTATTAAATGTCTTGACGACTTTACAACTATCCTCCATTATCCTTGCTAAACCACATTTCCAAAAAGATCATCCGAGAAATCCAGCAAGCCACTGAAATGTACTTGTAAATTGGATCCATCGAAAGCAACCCAAAGCGTCTGTGGGTGTGTATCCCACTGAATTACTGGGTAAAGAACTTACATACCATTTTGTTCCAAAACTAGATCTACATCATTTGTAGCTTATTTCTCAGGAGGTACCAATTCCAGCCCAGAAATAAGTCCACAGAGTATTTCCAAACTATCATTTCGAATTTTCACGGTCAAGGGTGGGAGGAGGAAGAAGAGAAGACTTGTCAGCGATTAACCATCCATAAAAATGTTTCCCCCGCGCTCCTCCTTCCGATCACCAAGCTGGCGTCAGTCAGTCTCCTGTATCTGTCCCCCACCTCGCCCCCCTCCCCTCTGCGGAGAGCTGGCACCGAATGGCAGGCGAAGGAAAAGACAAACATCCCGGCTCCCAACGCGATCCCAGCGTTAGCCCAGCGACACTTGAACAACATTCCTAACTTTCTCCTCGCGTGCCCCAAAGGTAAGCAAAGTTTAAAAAAAAAAAAAGTATAAAATAGAAGGCCAGCGAGCCAAAGGGTTTCCAGGAAGTTTAAAACATTTCCTCCAAAGAGCCACAACCTAATCTAACACACACTCCACACACACACACACACACACACACACACACACACACACCCATTTATCCGCTGTCCCAGCTCTCCAGCTACAGCAAACGGTTACTCAGCTCCAGTCCGGGATCCAGGGCGTCTGTTCTCGGGGTGCTGCCCAGGCGCAGAGCTCGGGCCACCGGAGGACGGCCAGGGCGCATCTCTGCTTACGCCCTAGGCCACGGCCCCGCCCGGCCGCCGCCCCCGCCGCGGGACAGGCATCCTCTGACAGGTCCCAGGTGCTCCAGACGCCTGGGTGGCAGCGGGCGCGAATAAACGCGCGCGTCTCCTGGGCGTCCGCGATCGGCGCGGCCAAGTCCTCGGAGCAGTGCCCCTCTTACCCCTCGCCCATCACACCCTCCCCACGCCAGACAGGCTCTCCCGAGCAAGACAGGGATGAAGAGGACCAAGAGCCCAACCACTCAGCAGAGGACCTCAAACACTTGCCCTGTGCAGAAGAAAGAAAAAACTCAGCTACACACACACACACACACACACACACACAGCGCGTCGCCGAGGAGGCTATCTCTTACCTGTCCCCACGATGCCACTCATCCCGCCCCCCACCCCAGGTCTGGCTGTCCCCCGCCCCCTGCAGTGGGTCCCCTAGGCTCCCGCTTCGAGCACCGCGCACTCACTGGCTGGCTGCGCGTGCCCACAGGCTGCAGGGCCCGGCGGCGGCGGCGGCGGCGGCGGGGACCGAGACAGCGGCTGCAGCGGCGGCGGCGACGGCGGCCCCAGCCGGCGTCAGTCAGACTGGAGCCGCGAAGCCTCATCGCCCGTATTAGTGCGCCGACCTGGAAAGCCGCCAGCGAGCCCTACTCGCGGCCCGCCCCGCCCGCCGCCGCGCGCGCTGGCCGCTCCGGGAGCCGGCGAGGAGGGGGCAGCGCGGCCGCGGGCAAGAGGCGGGGGTGCAGCCGGCCCCACAGCCACGTGCGCGGAAACTGGCGGCGGCGGCCGCCGGGGGTGTGCCCTGCAGCCGCGCGCCGCGCCGTGGCCCCCAGCCCTGAGCGTACTCCGTGTTCCTGAGCGACCCTAGGCTCGTCCCCTGCCGGAGATCACACCCTGCAGGGGGCGGCTCCAGCCCACGGGGTCACATCAGGTCTCCTTCTTCCCCCGTCATCCCCAAGACTTCTCGCCTGCACCTTGAGCTCCCGATGATGGATTGTTTTCAGAACAAGAATACAGGACCACCAACAAATCAGTCTGAAAAAGCCTCCTGAGCCGCTGTTTCTGGGCCCTGTTGGGCGCTGTTATTAGCTATTTGTTCCTTATTTGCTTTTCAAAGTAAAGGAGGTCCCTACACCCATCAAAAGTGCCAGAGCAATAGGCTTGTCCTGGCTCAGGCAGAAGAAAATCTTTAGATTTTCTCTGAGTGGTGAGCAGTGGCTCAAACTAGTCATGTAATTATGTGGATTGTAATTTCCTTACACAAGTACATAATATATAATATTATCTAATCTAATAAAGATACAACCTTGTGGGTACACAACGATGTTAATGTACAACCTTCTTGCCTCATGGCCTGGTTGCCCCTAAGTAGCATGCCTCTTAAAGTCTCAGTGGACTCCCAAAACTCGCTCCAAAATGCCACTTGGAAAATACCACCAATGTCCTGATGGCCTTTGATTCCCCATCAGCCCTGAACTCATCACAGAAAAGGAATTTGGTGCAAAGGCAAAAGTAAAATAAAGCCTCAGCTCAGCTCCATTTGTGTGTGCAAAAACCAGCCTTTCAGGAGGCTCTGATCCTCTTGAGGTGTAAATGGAAGGCCTTGAGTTTGCTTTTTCTAGTTCTAAAAGCTCTGCACTTTGGGGCAGATGCAGTTTTTGCATTATCATTCTGCTGTGGTTGAACAATGACCTTGTTTAAAACACACGGAAGTGAAACCTTAAATACCAGGCTTAAACCTCAAATTTTAATCATATTTCTACACCTGGCCCATATACATAGGCTCCAGACTAGGTATTAGGCTGAGATGGCCCTGGAAAAACCCCAGGAAGCATGTATCTTAAATCTTGTGGTGAATAGTCACTTTATTGGCAGTAAACTAATTTGGTACTCAGAACTGATACCTTGTGGCTCAGGGGTTTTTCCTGTTTTTATTTTTTTAAATAATATTAAGAATATAAATTATCTGATGCTCAGTTTCCTTCTCTTATATGAGCGCAATGCAGGGAATGTAATGCAGAGAAAGAAATTGTACCCTCTGCAGTGCTGGCTCATGCTTCTGGCATAGTCTTTTTAAATTCAMGGAATTCTCTTGGCTCTAGGCAGGAATTTGATTTACAGGCTCCATGCTTGTGTGTACTCTGCTTTTTCTGTACATTCTCATTGACATACCAGGCAATGTTTGCACACTGGTGATATTTTTCCTCCCTAAAGTTTAGCCTGTCACCAATAGAATTCTTATGTATTCCTCAAAACTAGTATAGAAAGTTAATCCTTTACTCTGGAGTACAGTAAGTTCTGGTGGAATGATACCGATGAAATTATATTGTTGTGTGCATGTATGAATATATAACAATAAATCCCATCATTATGTACAACTATAATAAACCAATAAAATACATTTAAAAGCATGAAATATATATATATATATATATTTTTTTTTTTACTTTAGTGTTCCATGAAAAAAAATAAGCAAAGAAAAAAACTTCGGTGAGTTCCAAGAGAAATGCTGGCACTAGGAAAGAAGACTCGGTGTTGCTTCCATAATTCAGAAGCTGCTTACTAGCTTCAAAACATACACTTGTAGTTATTGAAAAAAAAAAACAAACTAGTCTTTGTCTTTTCCTGTGATTTCTTGAGTTACGTTTTAGTGCTTAATAGAATTTCCTCGAAAACATTATATTATAGGAATCATATGAGAGGTGAGACTCAGTCAGCAGTTGTGATTTGGTGGGAACTTCAGTAAAATTTTGAGTCTCAAAATCATAGCAAAACTAAAATCTCCCTCTTCTGAAAGATTATAAGGACTTGGCTCCCTCAGTCTATGAAACAGTAATAGGAAGGGCACCTTTCCTGACGATGGGAGGTCTGGTTCTTCAGACTTGCCACATGCCCAGGGCTATAATTTGGATCAAAAGTGTCTTCCAAAGGCCCATGTGCTAAAGGTTTGTTCCCCAGCCCTTGGCACTTTTAGGACATAATAGAATATAGGACATAACTGTCAAACTATTTAGACACATAAGAAAAGGGGTTAAGAGAAGGGGTTAGAGAAAGTTAAGTCTTTGAGGATGTGCCCTTGAAAGGGAGACTGGGACCTTGGCTGCTTTCCTGTCTCTCYGTTTCCCAATTGCCACTAGGGAAATCCTCCTCCACGATACGTTCCTGACATGATGTACCATGCACCATAGGTCCCAAAACAACAGGGCCAGGTCAAACTTCTGAAACCATGAGCCAAAATAAATCTTTGTTAATGTTGATTATCTTAAATATTTGTTACAGGGATGGAAAACTCACGCTCAGCATAAAAGAAGATTGTAGTAAAGTCCAAAGTCRTCCATAGATGCTATTCTGGTTCCAGTATGAAGTGTCCCCCGAAAAGCTCATGTTAGACAACACAGCAATGTTATTAGATTTAAGAAAGTTGAAACTTCATCGGTGGATTAATACATTTGATGGATTAATAATTTGAATAGACGACTGGTTGGTAAAGATAGGCAGGTGGGGTGTGGCTGGAGGAAGTAGGTCACTGGGGACCTTCCCTTGAGGATTATATCTTGTTCCTTGTTCCCCCACCCAGTSCTGCTTCCTGGCTGGCCTCAGCTGAGTAGCTTTCCTTTGCACACCCTCTCACCATGATGTCTCTGTCTTGGAGCTGCAGATGATAGACGGAACCTCTAAAAACCTGAGTTCCAAATAAACTTTTTATCCCCTAAGTTGTATTTGTCAGATATTTTGGTCACAGAGCTGCAAAGCTGACTAACACAGATCCAGAGTCTGTTTGTACAGCTCTTGTACTTTGTATGTGATGTAGCATTCTAATGGTTTCACTCAAGAGTCCTAAATAGGAATTGTAGCCTCCCCTCCGCTCCCACTTCAATCTCCTTCTTGCGTTTTTGTCTGTAATTCTGTCATGACTCTGCATTTTTTCTGCTTCTCCCTCTTCCTTTTCTTGAAGTCATCATTCATTCCATAACCCCATTGAACATTTCCTTGAGCATCTGGTGCCTGGACCCTAGAGCACTGGCCCTGTCAACTCTGATCAGGAGAGATAYATATACCATGATCATCACACACCATATGTGTCACTGTAGGGAAGTGGGCATGGATGGGCAAGTGTCAGGAAGGACTGCACAGAGGCAAGTTCCAGCCACACCTTGAGGAGTCAGTATGGATGTCTACCTCTCCTGCACCCCCTGCCCCTCCCCTTGAAGAATTCAGCTCTGAGAGCTCTGGCCTGGTGGCAGAGTGCAGGCTGGATTTCAGCCCCTCTCACCCCCTTGACCAGGCACTCTGATGTTGGCACAACTAGAAGAACCATAAAGGCAGACCRGAATGCCTACAATATTCGGAATTTCCTAAGGTTTTGCCTATGAAAACCTAAGTTTTTTATTTTTTCTGTGAGAACTGTCAAACTAGTGAGATACATAAGAAAAGGAATGTTAATAGTAATTAATTGCTAATAAATGCTGAGGGATTGAGACAAGATGATAGAGCATCTTCATTTAGTCATGAAAAGGAGAAAAACATCCACTGTGAAATTCCCCTGGAATTGGGCTAGCACTTTATACACTTCCTCTTTATCCACCATCATGATCTCTCTCTCTTTTTTTTTTTTAGTTGTTGATAGACTTGTATTTTATTTATTTATATGTGGTGCTGAGAATCGAACCCAGTGCCTCACACATTCCAGGCAAGTGCACTACTGCGGAACTCCAGCCCCAGCCCATGATATCTCTTGGGATGAGAATTATCCCCAGATGAGGAGCCTGAGACACGAAATTAATTTTGCCAATGCCTGAGTGCATTGGACCACTGTACTTCACTGTCTCCCTGGAACTCTAAGTGGAATGGTAAATTGAGAAGAATGAGGCACCGGCAGGGATGTTCCAGGAAGAATAATCCACATAGTTTACAAAGTGAAAGTAGCTGGGGAGGAAAGTGGGTAGCGCAAAGGTAAGGAGAACAGTGGGAAGCCACAAAAAGCAGCTAGTCATGAGACAATGAGTGTCTGCTACAGGACATCATCTGTGAGATTCTAGAAAAACAGGGAGAGAAGCATTTATGGACACAGTGAAAGGAAAATCAATAGAGGTTGGCAAAACAAAACAAAAGCTGGAGGAAGGAATCAAAGATCAAGTTTGTGAGAAAAGTGCTATCTTGGGAAGAAATGGGTGCTATAAAGCACCTTTGGAAAAAAAAAATTATCCTGTCCCACCCACATTGTCCACCCGAAAAAGCATTATTTGCTTTTTTTTTCTCTTACTTGGTAGCAACACGAAATTCCATAGTGTATTTATTTGTTTTGATCTCGTCAGTTACTACTGTGTCAGCACAGTCTGAAACAATGCTTGACAAATAGTAGGTGCTCAATAAACAGCTGTTGA